TGACATTGAAAGATCACTGGCCACAGGCCTTTTAAAATCCTGCTTGTTCTCTTACTGTATTGTTGCTCCCTTGATAATGATAAGTATTTGGAACTTTCAAGCCGTAACAAATGTACAACTTGTGAATGTTATCCTGGCACAGTGAATGTTTGATTAAATTAGTTAATACATCACAGTCCTAAAACTGATTTCGACTCTTTGGATAGTCAGATACCTTTTCCATCACCTTCACTGAACTTTTTTTCTTCCCTCAGAGTAAGCATGTTTAAAATCAACAATTTGTTAAAAATCCAAGTCAAAGCCTGGTTTCTTGTTTCAGAAGGGGAAAAAAATAGGTATGGAAAAATAGGAAATGGAGAGATGGAGTCAAGATGGGGGAAAAAAACTAGTGGAATGCTTCATCTGAAAGCATTTTGACAGTTTGAAGTAATTATGTGGCCAGAGAAAACTATCTGACTTTATAACATTCATTTTGAGTTGTGCAATAAAATAAATGTCTATTCTGTCAGATTTCTAGAGACCGCTGAACTGATTTATGTATTAGCCTGACAGTAAGGGGTACAAAAACTATACAAAGAAATATCTGAATACAGCTCTCTGAGATTGCCATTCATCTTACAAAGAAGTTTTTAAACTCAAAGTATATGAAGTATCACATGTGTGCATAAAAAGGGCCTAAAAACCATGAGAAAAAATGAACAGATTAGTCTGAGGCCAAGTACAGAAATATTTGCAGTAGACATAAAGTATTAAAATTAATGGAGTAAGCTACCCAGAGTCACTGTGCATGATTTGGATAGCCATATAAATGTGTTTAATAAATAAACAAATAAGAGTACATTTAGCAGTTCAGTGAAGGCACCACATTCATATGAATTCACATTGTAACAGCAGCTAATATTTCATGGACTGCTTCAGTTATAATTGAAATGTGATAGGCAGATGTTCCTATTTTTGTAAGGACTGCATATTTTTAATATGCAAAATTAATTTTGTAGAACACTGCAGAAAAAAATAATAGAGGACACCTAGTGGTAAAGTGTTGTACATTTTTTTTCTTCAAGACATGGTACAATGAAACTATTATACTTTGCAAAACTCGATAGAGATTAGGCTTTATTACTCTAGAGTAAATTTGCTACTATACAAGTATGAAATGGATTTTGTTGTATTGCAGTGTAAACTAGGAATAGTGCTGAAGATATTTTGTACGTATTGTATTGCAACCATACATCTGTTAATTATTCCTAGGGAAAAGAGTGGCAGATTATAAAGAAAAAAAAGGATCTAAACATAGCCAGAATATTTAATTAGCACTTGTGGGATAAAAATTCTGAGTGTGAAGGCAAGATAGCTGTTGTAACTTTATATGGTATTTTTAAGAGAGTAAAGAGAGATAAAGTAGATGTTAATACACATTAATTAGTACACATAAATTGTTTTTTAAAAAAATCTATCTATGAGGTCAGTAGGAGTCAAAAACAACTTGATGGCATAAAAATAAAGTCAATATGTATATACATGAAAGACTTTTACCTAATCACCTACATACAAAATAGATATTGTTATAACTCGTTATATAGATTTTCAGACTGGACTTGGCATTTTCATGTACCTATCAAGTCCTTCCCAAGAAACTGGCATAGGAAGATATTATGGTTTCATTGCAATAAAAGTATCATTGCAGGATGTAAGCTGTTCCAAGTAAAGCTGCCTTTGGAAATTGACTGATCGTGATGTTGTTAATGTGATGATGTTCACGTATTGCTCCAGATGTTTTGGGGCTGCACCCAAGGTTTATTACTATTACTATCTTTGCTTTTTTTGCCGTATTTGTCCTACTTCTATTTTGTGATTTTTTTCTTTATATTTTGTGATTTCCCCCCCAGTTCTTTCTTTTCTATTCTGCTGTCCCTAGGTATAACATCCATTATCCAGATTTTTTTCATCTTTCTTCTAACAATTGTCAAGTCTGTGGTGTTAAATCTTAACAGTTGTTAAGTGTGGGATATCATGTAGCAAGTTCTTGAATTCTAAAGTTCCAGAGCATTTTACTTTCTTTGTTTTCTATTATTTTATCTACTCTGTGTCTCACCAGTTCTTGCTGGGAAGCTTTTATGGCATCTTCTTCAGGGCCCATCACATATTCTTCCAATGTTCTTTTCTCTTCTTCAACTGTCTATGTTCTTGCAAAATTCCACGCCCATCTATTTTCTTTAATAAGTAGAGTGTGTCAACATTGCTGCATGGAGGAAGGGCAGGATTCTTTGTCATAGCTTTTCTGTCTTCCTATCAAAGGCTTTTAGTTCTGCTTGAGTCCAGGCCACTTTTCAAATTGTATATCTAATGATGATGACAATGATTTACTGCTATTCAACTAGTAATATTCATTCAACTTCAATAAAAGATGATCTCTGTAATGCCTCAGCATACTACATAAGTTGATCATTTTTGATGAAATACCAGCTTGCTGAGCATATCGCTGGAACTATGCATTATGTGTGTTTATGGAATGCATGAATTGCTCTGTTTGGCAAAATTCTCCTCTCCGAAGAGAGATACGTTTTCATGGATGAATATGTAACTACATTCAGAATTTACATGGGAGAGTACATTTTAGATGATACTGATGTGAACTTGGCTACTCACAGTGGAGCATTCAATATGGCTTTCATTTATTCTTTAAAAACAATAGGAAATCCTTCACAGAATTGTTTCCCCCCATAGTTGGATTGATATTGTGTAAAATTTAAAGCAAGGCATCTGGGGGAAATTTTATAGTATAGTAAAGCAGGTCAGGAAGAAGTCTGGTTGCGTGGGAAAACTCAAGGTGAAAATGAAAACTTGGTTGGTTGCATATTTCAGAACAATCCTGAGCATGTGTCAGTGTCACTGTAGTGTCTGCTCTATTTCAAGATTAGTCATAACAATGAGATTTAGATGACAGTTGGATTCTTGTGCATGTCATTTTACTACTTGTTTCAAAATACAGTGAAAGTCATTCAGCAATGACTAATCCCAATGCCAGTCTGGTAAAGAACTGAAATTGTGACAGGCAAATCATGTGCAAAAACATGCAATAAATACCATTATATAGTTTACTATACAAAGGTCTTGAGAGAAACTGTCTTTTTTTCTATGCAATTTGCCTGTATTTAGATAAATAGGCAATTCCAGGTCTTCAAAGATGGTAAGAAAGTATTTGGGGGATGAATGATACCAAGTTGAAAAGTCACTTGACAGAGAGATGGATTTTATGATTCACTCAAACTTATCACATGAAGATCTTTATCTTTCAGACTTGGAAACTAGCTTTGTATAAACCAATGCATAGTTAATCCACTAATTTCTGCAGTTTTCTTGCCAGCACTATATTGTCAGATTCAATAAGTTCAAATTTCCTTTATTACAGGATGTGCTTTTCCTTCATTTGAAGAACTAATGCTTTAAATAAATGTCACTTTATCAAATGCATTCATATCCTTCTAATATTTTTTACATCCCACCCTCCATTTTGAACAGTGATCAACTATTTGATAAGTTCAAAGGCTTGAAATTCAAATAAACGTACATTTTAAAAAATCTAACCATTAGAGAAGTGGGTTTGATTACAGAACAGTGGGAAGACCTTTAACATATTTTTAAACCCATTTAGATTGCCAGGCATGACATACATTGTCTGGTATATAGTGTGTACATTTTCTTCTTTGTGAGTAATGTGGGCTGTAAAAGAAAATATGCTGATGCTGTGAATAACTTTACTAAACATAATAGGTTTGTTGGGAATGTGATACATAAGGAAGTCAGATAGGTGAAATATTGTTGTTACTATTTGCTCATAGTGATAATCCCAAATGTTTCTCTTACTTTAAATCGTTTTTTGTTGGTTGGATGCCCAGTTTTATAGTGGGATATCTGTTCCAGCGGAGATCTCTAAATTATAGTATATTACAATCATCCAAACCAACAACCTACAGAAGTATGGAATTATATTTTCAACCGGTTTATGTGGCTGAGGAAGGATGGAGGAGAGTTGTAGTTCAATAACACGGAGGGCCCTGTCTGCAAAGTCTGATCTACCATAGCATCTTATTGTGGGCGGTAGCGTTGTCCTCCCTATCTTGAAATTGAACAGCTGTGATCAGTAGCTTATTTTGGGAACGCTCAGCCTCTCGACAAAAATATGTGCATATTGTGGCTGGAGGGCTCCACGAAGCCTTCTCAGCAATCGAGTCAGCCTTACTTTTCAGAAGGACCTAACCTTGCAACCTCCTTCCGTTCTTCAGTTTAGCACCTCAGCTTCCTCCATCATAGTAAAAAGGACCAAGAGTTTGCGATCCGGCCAATGCCAAGCCTCTTCGCAAAAGGCACTGGGAATCGTTCCGACAAGCTCTGACGCGCATCGCGAACCACTTGCTCCACTCAGGGCTTTCCGCAGATAAACTTTCCCCAGTGAGGATATCCCCCCCCCCTCCTCAAAAAAAGCAGAACTGTCAGGAGACGAACCCCGCCCTTGCTGCCTGGGAAAGAAAGACAAAAACAGAAGGCGGCGGCGGCGGCGGCTTCCCACGGCCGGGGAAAAAAACCATTGTAAAAAGAGAAGAAAAGAAAAAAAAGAGAAGGAGAGAAAGGAAGGAAAAGGAGCGGCAAGAGGCTGGGCGGGGCCTACGGGAAACGGGGCGTTTCTCCGCGAAAGGGCACGGTCCAATCGCGTGCGCCGAGGGGATGCCTCGAACGACGGGAGCCAATGAAACGCTGGGAAGGCGTGGCTGGGAAGAGGAGCGAGTTTGCCTCTCCTTTCCCCCCCTCCCATCCGGCGGCTGAGGCGGACCGAGCCGCAGCTCGCCTGGGCTGGCTGTGCAACTCTTCGCTGGGGATACAGTCAGGTGGCGCACGGCGGGGAACTAGCCGCTGGTCGCCCGCCCCCTCCATCCCTCCCTTCCTCCCTACGGGAGAATCCCCCCCCCGCGCCCTCCTGAAGCGCGCTGCCCGGCACTCGTTCAAATGTGCGTGTGACTCTTAAGAGGAGCGGAGATCTCGGGCTACGAGGCTCAGTGGAACTCCTGGCCGGGAAGCAGCCCGCTCGGGCGACCTGATAATGAAAAGGAAGGTAAGGGAGTCAGGGTCTCCGTCTCCGCCCCCCCCTCTGCGTTTGTTTCCTCGAGGGGCTGCAAGGAGAGTAGGGGTGTGGGGGGAGAGCCGGGACGTTGCTTCCCTTCGGAAAAGCGGCTTCCCTTCCCTGTCAGACGCCCAGGATGCCTTTTTGGAGTGATGAAGAAGCGAGAAGACTTTGGGGAGGACGGGGGGGGGGGAGTCTTTTGTAGTTTGGGGAGGCGGGTAACGGCACCCCGGGGGTCGCATGAAAGCTGGTGTTTGGGGAAGGGGGGTTGTGGGAGAAAAGAAAGGGCCCCTCTTTTAAGCGTTTGGGGAGGGGAGGAGGGGGAGGAAATCCCACGAAGAGAAGCGTGAGAAATTTTATTAGCTTGGCAAGATTGACCCCGAGACCTGCCGTGTCCCCTTTGGGTATCGGGAGCTCGACCGTGAATTTCTCCCCACTGGAGCCCCCGAGGGAGACGGGATAGGCGGTCGGAAGGGAGGGAGGTGTGACTCTGGAGCGGGGAGAAGTGAGGACGCCAGGAGTTGTTGTTTCGCCTGCCTGCCTGCCGGGGGTATTGGGCCCCTCCCGTGGAAAAAAAAGAGCAAGGTGGTGGTGGGGAGGATGTAAAGGATCGGACAAGCCGCCTGCCAGAACCGCCTTGCCCCCTCTCGCCCTGCAATGTCATAGCTGATATATTTTGACCATCGCCACAGATACATTATATGCACATTCTTAATTTCATTCACATTTTGCTTGCACTGGCAGTGCTATCGGCCCTATCCATTGACTTTTAAAAGAACGCTGTCCTGTGGGGATGTATATATTTGTATCTCAAATACGTTTCTCTCCGAGGAGAAATAGCTTATGGTGGATAGAATCTTGCTTCTTCCTAGATGGGGGGGGGGGGGAACTGCCATCTGCTGCAATTTCAGTGGCTGTAATGTTTTATGTATGAAAAATGACAAAAGAAATATTTTTCCCCTCCTGTTGCTGCCAGTTCTTGGATCCTGCCCACCCTCTGAATATCTGTGCGCACATATCCCCTTTGTTTAATTTTCTGGATTTCTTTAAAGTAGATGGTGCCCTGTTGTAATGCAAAAAGGATACCCCCATTTTATGAATTTTTGTTCAACTTTCATTTAGAAGGGCTCCACACTGCTATTGGAATTTAGTTCACAAAGCTCACAACACTGCTTTGACCATTACTATGTCTATGTTCAATATATGAAGGAAAGTGTTGTTTTATTGAAACATATTTGAAGAGTTGTTTCTGCATACAGGTGCTTGTTTCCAAAATATTGCTTGAAACATCTATGTTGTGGCAAAGACTCTTTTAAGTGCATACTTTATCCGGTCTTTTTTTTGTGTGGGGGGGAGGTCACTTTTCATTTTAAATGTTAACACTAGATGGCTTTCTTGCATCATTTAGAAAGTACAGCACTCTTGAACCATCTGATTTCTTATGCTCCATTATTAGAATATGGTATCACTTTGTAGTAAATGATTTAAACCAAATTTAAATTCTTCCTTATTTGATCGTTTATGTTAAGACTTTGTTTATTGCATTTGCACTTTTGTTTGAAATTTCTCTAACTTTGTGGTAAACAAATAGTTGGGAAGAAAAATCCACATTTGCATTCAGGGTTTTTCACATTATTTTTCAATTAACATAATTTTCTCAGCACAAAGAAATTAGGATTCTTATTTAGCTTTACTAGAAGCTGCTGAATTTTTGTTTAACAAAGGTGAAATGATTGCTTATTAGTATTAAAAAAGAGCATAGAGCAGGTCTTTAAGGATTTTGTGGTATGAGGGAAAATAGAGTTTGAAGAAAGTATTGTGTCGTTGTTAGTAATTATATGAAATGGGGATAAAAACCTCCTTTTATATGAGCACTTGCTCTGGAAGTATTATGTTTGTGATTATATTTCTCCTTTGCTTAAGCTTTGCTAAAGAGAAACTTTTTCTCTCTGAACATAAATGATTTCAAGATTCTACTTGAATGATTAGAATTAAAATATAGAAGTCCTGTATGGGATTTAGGTAGGCTTGTAAACTGAATAGATCTCAAAGATGCTACAAGAACTTTGTGTACTATTTGTGTTTTCTAAATTATTATTGTACCTAGAAAAGCTGAGTTGTTTCCAGCTTTATAGTTTGATAAAATCATTGATTGTGTGGCGTTACAGTATTAAAACAAGCTCAGATAAACATCAAAATAACCCAGCATTTATATAAACTAATTTTCTAGCAAAACTTTAACTAATTGATTGTATTAATACTTTTAAGTACTTGATTTATACAACTTTGAAAAGGAAGGATAGGAATAAGATAAGCCAAGATGATCTACTCCTTTGATTAACAAGAGACATTTCTCTCAGCTATTGTTGAGAGATATTGATATCAGCAGTCTTTCCAATTGTAAGGTTGTTGTTTATCACTCAGAAGGATGTGTGAGTAAATATGTACAGAATTGGGTCGAATGTCTTTCAAATATTTCCCTTGCATCCAGACTTAGGGAAATATTTATTTGCATAGATTGTGCCTTAAGTTATTTCTTTTAAAGTAAGGTCTTGTTTTATTCTTTCTGGTTTAACAAAGTTTGGAACAATGTTTTTGCTTTATAAAATATACCAGTTGTAAATGGGCATTAGTCTTCTTACGCTTTCCCCTTCATATTTAATTAGTTACCCACTTTGGATTATAGAAATGTTGGTATTTCAAAATGAAACTATTTTATTCGCTTCTACTTTCTCTGTATAATTGTTTGATCACAGTTTAGAAGGTAGTGATGCAATATATGTTTCTAGTTCGAAGGTGGAGTTAAGATGCAGTTTATCCAGAGGTAAAATCCAGAAGGTTTTAACAGGTTCTGGAGAACCGGTAGCGGAATTTTGAATAGTTCAGAGAACCGGCAAATACCACCTCTGACTGGCCCCAGAGTGGGGTTGGAATGGAGATTTTGCAATATTCTTCCCATGCCACGCCCACCAAGCCACGGCAACAGAACTAGTAGGGAGAAAAAATTGAATTTTACCCTGAGTTTATCCATATGGCAGACAGTATTCTTGAATTCTTGAGGTTGCATCTTATACAGTATATACATTGCTGGAAGAAAATATGACTAAAGAAATTCACCACAGGTTCTTTGGGTCCCACCTATGCATATTTCAATAAATGATTTGAATTTCTGATAAGTGATTACTAAAGCTAATAATGTGGTTTTTAAAGAAGATATGTCATTTGTGGTTCTTAAATGTCTAAATATAAGTTATATACATACTGATTTTCAAATTCAGTAAAGTTGCGAATTCATAGATTACATGCAGCCTCTTAATTAATACTACTTTAATTAATATGTGTTCTTTTAATTAATACTACTTAGATGTTTCTTACTGAACTTTAGTTTCACAAGATGTATTTCTAAGCATTCAAGGCTTTTAAATATGGCCTCTGATTTTAATTTTTACATAGGAAATATTTTGCTACTTTACAGAGTATCCTACCTTTTAATTGAATGAAAAATAAATCATGTACAGTATTACATTTCTACGTACATTGCCTTTTCATTAAGTCTGGCATTTTAGTAATACAACTTTAATCGAATAATGAAACTAACATATTTGATAAACTTTGAGCAATATGGAACAGGTTTTCTTGTTTGTTTGTAATGCAATTATTATAAGACTCTCTAGTTAGTTTTTATAACAACAAAGTTAGACAGTTTTGAAAACAAATTGTTGCTCTGGAAATACAAACAAACATACTTAGGACACCAGCTGCTTCATAGCACCATTGTTTTTAATATTCCTTTGACACTTCAGTGTATATGGCATGAAAACTACATAGAAGATGAAGATGAGATCCCTTTGGTGGTATTTCAGACAAAGCAAAAATATTATAATTCCCATACTCCAAAATCTCAAACTATGAGTCCCCTCGGGGAATAGGGCGGCTTACAAATCGAATAAATACCAAATATCAATATTCCAGTTCCTGGTTTTAAGCAAGAGAATGGAGTGTACCAGTTGGACATGGCTGCTTAAAAGTGTCATAATCCTTCTTATGCTGGAATCCAGCACATAGCATTGCCTGTTTTTTCTGGATGAAGTATAAGATGGGTATTGTGCCACTTTGGTGGGCAATCCAAAGCTGTAGAAATACCTTTTTATATTACCTTTCTTATTTTGCTAACTAATTCAAGGTGACAAAACACACCTAATATTCTGGAAGTTTTATCAGAGGGAGATCCAACCTGGAACTAGAGAAATTTCCTGACAGTGAGAACAATTAGTCAGTGAAAAAGTTTGCCCCCTGGAGTTGTAGGTGCTCCATTGCTGGAGATTTTCAAGAAAAGATTGGACAAACATTTGTCCTTGGGCAGGAGGTTGGACCTCCAAGCAGTGGTGGGTTCCTACAGGTTTGGAATGGTTCGGCCAAGCCGATAGTAGTTTGGTGGCCAGGACCCAGGCCTGCCACTCCCCCAAACCGGTTCTCCATCTTCTTGTCTGCGCATACACAGAACAATTTTTATTGCACGCAGCATGCATCAAGCGTGGGGCACGCACATGAGTGAACCGGCGGTAGTGCCTGCCAGAATCCACCCCTGCCTCCAAGGTCCCTTCCAGCTCAATGATTCTTTCCTCCTATTTTCCCCACAACAACAACAACCCTGTGAGGTGAATTAGATTGAGAGAGAGAGAGTCATTAGTCAAGTCACCCAGCCGGCTTTTATATTTATCTTGGCTTTCTTCCCAGCTTTGGACCTGGAATAGTAATCCAAATCAAATCTTCATATAACAGTGTGGATAATCCCTATTGTTTTGTACAACTTTATCAATGGAAGGAAGATTAATTTCTTGTAAAGTTTCTCAGAGTGAACTTACTGAGATACTAATACTGGTCCTACTGTAATTAGAAAGGTCATGACTAAAGAAAGAGGTAGCAGATGGAAAGTTTTGAAAATCTCTTCCATAGAATTCAGAAGTTGATATATGAAATGAAAATTAGAA